CTTCCCAAACAGAAAAGTTGAAAGGAGGTGGGATCTGGGAGAATCGAGTGTAAGTCAGCATGTAGCCAAGGAGAGTATGCGCCGCTCACTCAACTGGGTCCGAAGACCAAACCCTTAGCAGGTCAGCAAATCGGACTTGGGACCTCAACGGTTGAGCAGCGTCCCGGCAATATCCTTCTGCAAAAGCAAAGCAAAATCAGTGCATCTCTCGGACCTAAGAATAGCAAAATCAAGGAGTCGGAAAGAAAAAACACCTTCATCCCTCGGCACTTTAGGGCAGTACAATCTGTCATACTTGAGCCCGACCCTTTCTCCCAACTTCCACCGAGTATGATCAGATCGTCTACGTACCCCTTGTCCGAGTCGGGCATGTGAGTTACCAGATACATTGAGACGCCGAGACGACGCGATCGACTCTTCCGAAGAACTGTTTTCCCCGAGTATTCAATGCTCAGTTGATCTTGGATGTCGATCTGGGGGATTTAGGTATTCGGGGAGTGGCATAAATGCTCGTCATTTGGTCGAGCATTTACCCCATTTTCCTAGCATTTAATAGAAGGAGACGTGAGTAGAAAACACTCACTGCACGAGAAATAGTGTGTCAGATGTAAGATGTTCAAATGGGACAGGAGATCTTTGACAATCATTGTTAATTTAGGTATAAATGCTCATCAAAAAAATAGACAAAGATACACAAACTTGAATCATAAAAATAGTCTATTGAGAAAAACTCTTCGACCTTATACTGATTTAAGCTTAAGAGGGGATTAGCCGGGCGCTCGTCTGACCCTGTTATTTCAGGTTCGCCAACTTAGAAATTGCTATCTGATATTATTGCAGAAATTATCCCGTACATATACTCCTAGTCCTGTTCCAATGTAAACAGCAATGTAGCGTAAGGTCATAGAAAAACATTAATTTCGACATTTGATGGATTCGTAAGATCTGAGTTGGTGAACGGGGTCGATCATAAATGCCAAGCTGACCCAAATGCCAATAGCATTAATCTCCTCTGAGACACCTTGATGCGAAGGTCCAGTGTACACCATTAAGTTATTGTGTGCTCATAGTGTATCAAACAAGCTTAATTTTGTTCTATCAAGATTACACCTTATCCAATCTATATTTTTTCAATTCTCTTATTGGTTGGCTGATATACAAATGTGTCTCACTTTTTTTTTTATATTAAATATGATTCACTTGAATGCATGATAGATGATCAATTAAAAAGAAAGACACTTATATCAATTTTTGATTTATTTCCTGTGGAGTTTGAGCTTAGCCATCTCTTCCAATGTTATTTGCCATTGTTTTTCGTTATATGATAGCGAATGATGCATTTATTCAAGAACGTTCAAAAACCGTGTGGTAAACATATATAAGCAATTGTTTAGTGTATAAGCAATTATTTTTAGTGGTCACACCTAAAAGTATGTACAATGTTGGTTGGTAAAGATGATGTTACACTGCATTCATAAATAGTCTTGAAATAAGAGTCGATTGGACAAAGTAACAATCTCATATTTTGCCTAGCAACAAAAACGAGTCTCGTTGCTGATCATTTGTTTATAGTTTTCATTGATTATCTAGATATATTGGAGGATATCTCACCTTGTATTAGTATACAAGAATATATATCGAGGATGTTTATTGCTTGTGTGAAATTATTGTTTACAAATATGGGTGGAGCCACCATTGGACTAGGGGCACATGCATACCATCATTTTTTTTAGCTTGATTGGGTATGTATTTTTTAAAATAAAATTTAACCATTTTTAATTGCGTTTACCCTATTATTGTGTTATTGTGATTAGGATAAAAACTCCTATCTAAATGACTATTAACTTTTGACTAATGCTATTGGAACCTAATTTCAACACATATTATATTGTGACATTAAGTCTAATACTGAGTCCCGAACAAAGTTACTATCCAAACGTCGGGTAGAACTCATTAGGTCCCCGTTAACTAAATCCCAAATTAGGTGAAACTAACATTATTCTTAACTTTCAGATACGCTTTGAACATGTCTGAATAAATTTTGGATATATTATGGTCATTTTTCAATTTTTTAAAATTATAGGATTATCTTATTATTATATAAAAATAAATGTCATTATGTAAGAAACTACAAAGTCATAAATGAAAGATTGTTACCATAATTTTATATATAAAAAAAATATTTGTTGATGGGGTTGATTTGTAATGCTTTTAAAAGATAAAAAATTATTTGACCAATTGTAAATGATAATAATTAATCTAATTTTTGGTACTAAATTATAATTAATTTCTTTTTTATCTTTTGTGTATGCTATGTAGATCAGTTTTTAATTTTTTTTGTTCAATAAACTTTTAAGAATTAAATATGATTTCAACAAATATGTATTTATGAACTTTTGTGATCAATTGAAAAAAAAATTAAAACTTATTAATGTGTCACCCTAAGCTAATTTCCTCGCTCCGCCTTTTACAAATAAAATGTTTAAGTTTTTTTTAAAAGATTCTTAAAATAAAATGGTCATTTGGAAGCCGGTACACTAAATTAGACATAATTGTAAAAAAATACACATAAAAAATATGTTGGAACGAAGTACACTGTTGAGATACAAATACTTAAATGCCCATTTTCTAAAATTTACTTTCCTAAAAAAGATTTTTGGAATATATCTTAAATTAATTAACTACACAGTGATAATGCTTAACCGTTAAATTTTAGGAACATTAATTCACGAATATTTTAGGCCCTGTTTGGTTTGCATCTCAAAAAATAATATCTGAAAATAGTTTTTGAGAAGAGTTTTAAAAAAGTATTTTTGATTTTTTCTAAGACGAAAAACTTGTTTGGTTATATGATTTCAAAAACAATTTTACATAACAGAAAACAGTAAAACTTATTTAAACAGCTTAAATATATGTTTGAATAATAATTCAAAAATTAATAAAAAAAAAAGTGAACATTATTTTTAAATGGACAATTTCATAAAAAATTTAATAAACCAAATTTTAAAATAAACTAAACAGATTAAATGGTCTTCAATTTATAGCATATTCAATATCAATTTATATATAAAAACAATCAACCAAATAACAATAAATTATTTTTTACCTAAAAAATATTAGATCAATAACAACACCAATAACATAATCAATATGTGTTTGATAAAAAAAATCAGATCTGTGTCAATATTTCTGAAAAAATCAGATCATATCAAAAAAAAAAATATCAGATATGTGTTTGATAAAAAACATCAAATCTAGTCGTTGGAGAGCTCTAGTGTGTGTGTGTGTGTGTGTGTGTGTATTTTGTTGGAGAAGACGCAGTTGTCAGATAAGGCACAGTCACCGAATAAGTCTTTCATCTGAGAGAGTCTATGGAAAGAAAAAGAGAAAAAGATTGACAGAGTGATGAGAGTCTAGGAGAAAAGGCAAAAAAAACAAAAAACGCTTTTATGCATGACTTGTTTTGCTTCTAAGGAAACTCGAACGGGATACCTCGTTAAGCTTGAAAACAAGTCCCCGTGTTTTTTAGTTTTGACATAAATAAGCTTGAAAACAAGCCCAACTTGTTTTCTAGTTTTATGCTTCAATCCCATATTTTTTTCTAAAAATTGGAGAACAAAATCTCAAACCAAACAATTTTTGAACCTTTTTTTAGATTTGAGAACAAAAAACAATTTTTGGGAATCAAACCAAACAACCCCTTACTTTCCTAAAAACAATTTTCAGAATATATTTTAAAATTAAATAGGTAGATAGTGATAAGACTTAACCTTTGAATTTTAGGAACATTAATTTGCGAAAAGCTTCGTCTTTGGAAAATGATTAATGCTTATTTTTCCTATCCAAAAACTACTTCATCTTCCTCGGTTAGAAGCTTTAAATCGTATCCTGAACATCTACTGAGTTTCATCTTTGAAAGAAAAATTATATTAGTCCACCATTGTATATGTAAGTTCGTCAACAACATCTACTGTCATATTTATTAATTGTGTGTAAATAAACTGTATCTATCTCCTAACTGTTGATTGTATGTCCCGCATAGTGTAACAAAGACAGTGTAACACTGTAATACAAACAGTGTTTAGTGGTAACAAATTCAAAATAGATCTGGACTATTACAATAAAGTTATATGTAACTATATGTTTGACAAAATGTAACAGTACATTGTTTTGTGTAAGTAAATTTTTATACTGTTATTGTTACACTGTAACAGTAAAATGTTAAAATGTTCGCATATATATAATAGACTTCGGTTATGGTGTTTACATATAAAAAAACAGTATAATCTCCTTTAAAATGACAGACATAAACTTAATAGAGTTATGAATTCAAATCTTATAATTGCTTAGATTGAATAATAAGGATGAAATAATGTTTTGGACTTATATTGATAAATTGGTTTCAGGCCGAAAAAAAAGAAAACAACAAATGATACTACTGCAAAATTTAAAATTCAAATCAATTGATTTATCCTCAAAATAAACAAAAAAATTAAATCTTTTATTAGGATATTTTTAATGCATAAATATAATTTGAAAAAAAAAAATAGTTTCAAAAAATAATCACATGATTTAAGGGAGGACACAAATGTCAAAGGAAAATCCAAAAATTTCAAATTATGTACATGGACATAATTAAGAACTAAAATTAAGGACTTCATTACTTTATATTTTTTTCTGTATATTTTTTCACAATTAAACCTAATTTAATATACCACTTCTAATTTACCGAAAATAAAAACTAAGTTGGAGTGCACGCTATTTTGCAACGTGGGCTGAAAAACTACTGGGCCAATAGACAGAAAAGCCTAACAGACAGCGAGGATTTCACTTCCACTATTTTAGTCTAGGATTGCCAAATCAGATTGATCGACGTCGTGTCGAAATTTGCTTCGTCATTCACGTAACTTATCTACCCTAGCAGGTGAGAGACACATTTTCCTCAACCATATAGTCACAGAGAGACGAGGCTTAACGACCGACTCAGCTCAACTCAGACTCAGAAAACTCATTAGCCCTTTAATCCGTTAATGGAGAGCTCACAGGACCCAAATTTTAAACCACCAGTTCGCGCCGACGAGTCCGAGTCCGAGCTCGATCTCTACACCATCCCTACCCACTCCCGTAACTCTCTCTCTCTCGGTGTATATACATATAATGTATATCTAAAACCCTAACCCTAATTTTCTCTTATTTCAGGTTGGTTCTCTTGGGACTCTATTCACGAAATCGAAAGATTCTCGTTGAGAGAATTTTTCGATGGGAGTTCTTTCACTCGAACCCCCAAAATCTATAAAGATTACCGAGACTTCATCATCAATAAGTACAGAGAAGACCCGTCGCGGAGACTCACTTTCAGCGAGGTACGTAAATCGCTGGTAGGTGACATTAGCTATCTCCAGAAGGTCTTCTCTTTGCTTGAAAAATGGGGGTTGATCAATTTTGATGCTGCAACGGCGGCGGCGGCGTCTGGTGATGGGGATAGAGAGGATGAGAGGTGGAATGTTAGGGTTGAGGAAGGGGTTCCACATGGAGTCAGGGTCGTGGCGGTTCCGAATTCCTTGAAGCCGGTTTCGTTGCCGCCAAGTGTGGGTGTTGGGGAGAGTGGTGGTGATTTGGTGGAGAATGGGTTTAAATTTCCGCCTTTGGCTTCGTTTTCGGATGTTTATGGCGAGTTGATGAAGCAACGAAAGGGTATCTTTTGTGGGAATTGTAAAGAGCTGTGCAATTCGGGACACTATGAATATATAAAGGTATATTGGTTTTCTTTTGCATTGTATAGCTTTTTCGCTTTGTTTGTGCTGATTAGAATAAAAATTGCTTTGATCTTCAGATTGAGTATATTAATTATGTTTAGTTTGTATATTCTTCCGATGTGTAAAAGATATATGGTTTGTCTGCAGGTAATCTTTCAGAACCTATTGGAAATAAAGGCTTCCCTATTTTTTAAAACATTGTCTGTATTTGTTTGTCATAGTTGCTCATCTGGTTCCCCAATTTTCTGCAAGTGTCTTTCCTGTATATTCCTTTTTGGCTTTTACTTCCATTTTCGTAAGGTTGGTATTATTTCATACTGGTCCATTTGTTGGTATCCAAATGTTGAATTCATTAATTGACACATTCTTCATCCCAATAAAGTTGGAATCGAATTGATTTTATATATTTAGGATAGGCACACGTATGCAGGAACAGGCTTGTCATGCATTATGTGCCCAAGGCCTCAAGTGGCATATGGCTGTGAAGAAGATTTATCTTATTTGGTATGTGATGTGAGACCCATTGATGTGGTACCCACTTAGTCAATTTGACTATTCCATAAACCAAACTTAGGGATCCTTTGTCTGCGACGTTTCTCTCTCTCATTTTAAGTCTTAGGCCTACAAGTTCATATGTTTATTTATTATTACATGCAGCAGGAAGGAAGTCTCAGTATTTGTGTGACATGCTTTAAAAACGGAATCTATGGGGAGAGCAAGTCTGGGGATGATTTCAAGTTCATTGACTGCGTTTTAGACAGTGGTGACCATGGAGCAGTTTGGACTGAAGCAGAAACTTTACTTCTTTTAGAATCTGTTTTGAAGCATGGAGATGACTGGGAGCTTGTCACTCAAAATGTTCAAACAAAGAGTAAGCTGGACTGTATTTTAAAGCTTATACAGCTACCTTTTGGGGACCTTATGTTGGGATCTGCCCATGGAAAGGCAAGACTTTGGGATTCCAATGGCAACGTAAGCGGTGTCAAGCAACTACAGTTCACTTCAAGCAAGTCTCAAGAGAGTGTCAAAACAGATGACGATGAGCTTAAGGTTGAGACTCAGCAGATTGGAGATGCCGAGAATGAAGGTCCTCCACCAAAGAGAGTATGCACTGCTCCAATATCAGATACCAGTAGTACACTGATGAAACAGGTAAGGATTATTGTGACTTGTCAGTTAATTTGATCTGAATCCTTTCAGCAAGAAGCAATTGTGAGAAATCAGATTCTTTGTCTTATGAAGTTATTCTAATTTTAGTTCAAATCTCATGCTGGTAAGCTTCTCTGAGGTTCATAAACTTTTATTAAACTTATTGTGATAGTGATATATTAGTTTGCCTAGATTGTAGAACTTTTTGTCTGAGAAAGAGGGAATCTGTTTGAGGTTTATAGTGCTTTATTGTCTTATACACTTCATTGGCAGAAATTTGGGCTTACTGTTTTCATGATTTACCCTTTTTTTTTCTCATTAGGCCGCTCATATCTCTACCATGGTTGGGTCACATATCACAGCTTCTGCAGCTGAGGCAGCCGTTACAGCCCTTTGCTATGAAAACCAATGTACAAGGGAAATATTTGATGGTGATGATGATGCTGGTGATGAGTTAGGATCTTCCCTTCAAAATAACGAGAAAGAGAGGTCATTGATCCGACCATTTATATAGTTTAGCATTAATATCCGTTTAGTGGTTGTTACACTATTAACATCTGGAATGAATTTACATCTTCACTGTGTCAGAGCCCTTGAGGTTGAAGAATCAGAGATGGAGGAAAGGCCCACGCAATCAGGTATTTGTTGTATCTAAATCTAAAGTAGTCTTTCTTTTTCTTAACTTTCCTCAGTATTTTGGTGGTTATGAATGCGCTGTAAATATAATTTTGTAGTTTTGCCCTAAATGGTGTCACTTTCATTGTTTGAGACTCCATAAGAATTGCGGCACTGTGTTGTTGACCTGCTGTATTATTGCTCTGTATGTTGCATATTCAGTTCTCACCCCTCTAACTGAATACATTTTGTCTTGCAGAAAATCAGGAGACATCTCTCAAGAAGGATGTTATCCCCTTGACTTTACGGATGAGAGCTGCAACTGCAACGGCTCTGGGTGCTGCTGCTGCTCATGCCAAGTTATTGGCAGATCAGGAAGACAGAGAAATAGAACATTTAGTGGCAACTATACTCGACACACAGGTAAGTTATACTTTTTGTCGGATTCCTACGCAATTACACAAGCGATTTAATGCAATAATGAGTCAGAGCCATGAGAAAGTGAACTTACCCTCCACCTTAAAATCCTATGCGGATAACTGCTCTAGTTGGTCATCTTATTTTATTTAGTTTTTTTTTCCTTCAATGAAATGCCATTTTTTAAGTACACAGACCTTGATGTTTATTCTTTGATGAATGCATGCATAGTTGAAGAAAATGCACCACAAAATCAAGCATTTTGAAGATTTGGAGCTGATAATGGAAAAGGAACACTCACAAATGGAGGAACTGGAAGAGTCTCTCATAGAAGAGCGGATAAAAGTCTTACAAAGGGTATTCAATACTGGGATGCCTGGATTGAGGGATCACACTTTTGTAAAGTCTCAGACAGGCACTGTACTCTGAAGGTATCTAATTTAAAATGTAAGGAAGTTATGTAGGAGATTCATCATAAACATGTCAGGCTTCCCATAGTATGTAGCTTGTTTAGTACATCATTCTTTGCTGCAGACAATTGTTGTAGATCAATTTCTTTTACTTTCACGTGTTTCTCTTTTAGTTGCTTATAGTTGTAATGTTCTTGGGAACATATCATACTTGCACTTCTAATTATGAAATGTAAACCAGCTCATATTTTGTGTTTATGTCGATAATTCTGGTTTCATTGCTAAGACTGTTAATTATTTTTCAACACCTGCTTGGAAACTGGCACTTTCATACAATGCCGGGATAGCAGAGTACATTCCTCTTGCATTTTTATATTCTATTTAAATGTAGTGTGGTCGGATGAGCTCCCTCCAAACCCCAGTTCCTATTTTTCCTGAATTTCAGAAATTTTCATATTAAACATAATAGGTGGTCTTCTATCGATTCAAACTTCCAACTTCCAACGTTTCTAATCTCAGATGCCTCTTTTCCATTGCCTCCACCTCTCCCTCTCTGTTGCCCAAGCATGCCTCTTCTTTCTCCTCCCTCAGTCACTGCTCTACCTGTCTCCTCTTCCCTATGATGCCTATGGGTTTCTATTGCTTGATGGAGAAGTTAGAGAACGTTGAGTCAGGCTGTTCGAATGTTTTGCCATAATCATGTGACCGCCAAAAAGACTATGATGATGACAGCAGTTTGGATGTTGTTGAGAATGGAAAGGTTAGAGAGAATGAAGAACATGAAAATTCAAAGAAATTGAAGGTCACCCTGACCTAATTCGATGGTGTTTTCCTTCCTCAGTGTTATTGAACTTAGTTCTTTCGGCTCACGTATGATTTCTTGTGTTCCAGACTCGAAGCTTCTGTGAAGTTTTGGACTTCAATGATAATTAGGTTTTCCAGTGGTATAATTTGGGGAGTAAGGTGAATTCTGGGTTTTGATTCAACAGCCTATAACTGGGCTTGGAAGCCAATCCTCATGTCCAAAGATATCAATCTTTCTTGCAAATGTCCCATTTTAAGGTATTAATTATTAGTTTCTCCTTTTACTTTCTTTGTGTGATTTTCTTAATTTTGAGTTGGCTGTAAAATGCTCACTCATATGCACATTAAGAGATTGGAAAAGGTTGGTGTGCTTGTCATGCTGTCAAACATGCTAAAGGTTTTAGGAGTCGTTACTGACTGGAGAGTTAATGATGGACGTCAATACTTCTAAAAATTGTATATTAACAAGTGGAAGCACTTTGTCTCTTTTGTGATATGCTAGTAACATCGAAAACACAGTAACAATCTTGTGAGTTTCCTCGGCAAAAGAAACTGTTACTTAAAAATATAAAACATGTTTGGTAATTATTTATATTTAAAAAATTATAAAAACAAAAATAAAAAATATGTTTGGTTTTATACAAAAAAATCCACCACACAATACCACCACCAAACTCTCAACCATCTACCACCACCAAACACCCATCACCACCACTGAAACCTACCCCCACAACCCTTTTGCAAAACCCCACCCCCATCCTCTGAAACCCACCACCATCAAAACCCATCCCCATCCATTGAAACCCAGCACCACCACTATCCCCAAAACCAACTACCTCCCCCTCAAACCCACCCCCATCCCCATCCCCATCCCCATCCCCTCAAACCCAAACCACCAACATTCCCAAAACCCACTCCCATCCCCTGAAACCCATCACCACCGAAATCCATACCCATCCCCTGAACCCCACCACCACCCCCATCCCCGAAACCCACACCCATCCCCTGAAACCCACCCCCACCGAAACCCAGCATCACCCAACCTCACCACCATCCCCGAAACCCACCAACACAGAGAGGGCGAGGGGAGGATAGCTGGAAAAAAAAAAGAAAAAAGAAGTCAATGGGGCTTTTTATATACTCAACCAAGAAAATTAATTTTTTGTTGCTAAGGGGGTTGAAATCATGATCTCATTAAACCCCTTTTGGATCCACGCGTTTGTTTTTTTTTTTTTTTTTTATATTTTCAAAAACATTATTTTGGAAATTTTCATATTTTAGTCTTATTTTTAAAACGGAGGAATTAAAAAAAAATAAAAACATTCACCAAACACATTTTTTTTTTTAACTATAAAATGAAAACAAAAACAGTAAAAAACTAAAATGTCTAGTTACCAAACGCTACCTCAAACTACAGCAAATGTCTCTCTTTCGGAGAGCAGTAAAAGGAGGGAGTTTATTTATTTGGTACCATGGGGTTAACATTAGATCATGGTGTTAACATTAGATCTTAACCCAGGCAGGCATAGACAGAAGTTTCCTTTGTTGCCCGTCACACAGCTTGCACTCATAAATTTCTCCTTCAAGATCTACTTGCATTCTGCTACACACTTGGGGAGTGTGCATGGATGCAGTAAGATCCCAAATTGACACTCCACACAATCCGGGGCCAGAATCAAGAATCCCACCACCATCGCTGCCAGAACCAGCGCCCACTTCTTCCCCGCTTTCGCCTCCATTGCCTGATGTTTTCCTCTGCAGCCAAAAACCAGTGTCTTGAAGAAACACTACAGCCTCTGCACAGCTACATATACAAAGAGAAAAATAGCCTAGACAACTCTCCATTAGCTTACAATTTAATGTTAAAGGCGAATCCGATTTCATCTATCTACATGTAATACGGATAGAAAGAAATACTTTTTCTACATGATTTTGTGAATTCAAGTTTATGAGAGATAAGAACAACAACGTTGCATGAGACGAAATGTTGGACAACTAAAAAACAACTTTGAGTGTAGCGGAAATAAGAATGTTAAGGTGGATGTGGAAAAAAATTAGAAAAGATAGAGTACAAAATGACCATATTAAAAAAAATGGTAGGAGTAACTCCAATTGAGGACAAATTGAGAGAGAATAGATGAAGATAGTTTGATCATATTCAACACCGGTTAGAAAAAAGTGATAGAAGTTCTTTTAATGTTACTAGAAGTAGAGGTAGATCTAAATTAACATCGAAGGAAATAATAAGAAAATATATGAAAATATTTAAATTAAATAAGCATATAGCATGTTACCGAAATGAATGATGAAGACAAACTCATATAACTAATCTCAATTGATTGAGACATAAGACTTTGTTTGATTTGGTTTATATATCTTCCTCTTGTCCATTGAACTATTATAATTAGACTCTTGGACCTTATTTGGATGACAGTAATCCTAATCAAGAATGTATATCTCATTCATAGTAAAAAGGTACCCAGTTTTTAGTACGAGAATTAATATTTATTTTATTATTATTTTTAGTAATGAACTTTATTTTAGGAAGGGAGCTTGACTTTAGGAATTTACTAAATTTTGAGAAAGTGTTTTTATTTTGAATTTTTTTCTTTTTTAAGAATGCCCAATTAAGTTAAGTATGAGATTACCACCATTTTTTTATTTTGAAAGGGGTGGGGAGGGGGTAGGGGGACTTGACCACCATCGATGATAAGTTTAAGATTCTTACCATCATTGAGAATATGGTTCCAATAAGGGTTTTATTCTTGATATAGGTTACATGTTCATTAATTACTCAAACATTGTAATCTATGGACTTGAGAATGCGATTACCATTCCCAACTAAGATTACCGTAATCTAAACTGTGTTTTAATGTTGAATCATTTGAATTAGACAATAAATTTGGAAAACCAATTCACAATGTATCAAGTCATTCGTGTATATAAATATATAAAATGTACACAATAAAGAAGAAAGAATGAAGTACATCTATAAAGTCGAAAAAAGTTAGATATTTCATTGTAAACATGAATATTGTGAGCAACAGGAGAAGATCGAGAGTGAAAGGGAACGAACTAGAGACTCAGTGAGAGATTAGAAGCCAAACTCAGTAAGGAGACGGTTGAACCCAAGTGCTACACCACAATAGGTGTCACTTGGGGTCGTACGACTCAGGCAAACTATTTACACGTGTGCTTGCCTATTTCGTTTTAGAAGGTTTCAAAGCAGAGTTTTGAGATAAATAACAAAGGATCATTATATTCATGGAGTGAGAAGACTAGTGTGGTTATCAAAGTCACTTGTCAATTCAAACACGACACTATATCAATTTTTTTGAATAGTTCCAAAAATATATTCTTAGGTGTAAGAATTATATAGTCGTCACTTCTAATTAGATTGGATATTCGAATCAGATATTTAAAAATCAATCAAATTATAGAATCGAATTTGAATTTTTATTAAATTTATATTTGAATAAGTACAAAATCCGATTAAAATTCAATCTATTGATTCGGTGCATNATTTTTTTTTTAACTATAAAATGAAAACAAAAACAGTAAAAAACTAAAATGTCTAGTTACCAAACGCTACCTCAAACTACAGCAAATGTCTCTCTTTCGGAGAGCAGTAAAAGGAGGGAGTTTATTTATTTGGTACCATGGGGTTAACATTAGATCATGGTGTTAACATTAGATCTTAACCCAGGCAGGCATAGACAGAAGTTTCCTTTGTTGCCCGTCACACAGCTTGCACTCATAAATTTCTCCTTCAAGATCTACTTGCATTCTGCTACACACTTGGGGAGTGTGCATGGATGCAGTAAGATCCCAAATTGACACTCCACACAATCCGGGGCCAGAATCAAGAATCCCACCACCATCGCTGCCAGAACCAGCGCCCACTTCTTCCCCGCTTTCGCCTCCATTGCCTGATGTTTTCCTCTGCAGCCAAAAACCAGTGTCTTGAAGAAACACTACAGCCTCTGCACAGCTACATATACAAAGAGAAAAATAGCCTAGACAACTCTCCATTAGCTTACAATTTAATGTTAAAGGCGAATCCGATTTCATCTATCTACATGTAATACGGATAGAAAGAAATACTTTTTCTACATGATTTTGTGAATTCAAGTTTATGAGAGATAAGAACAACAACGTTGCATGAGACGAAATGTTGGACAACTAAAAAACAACTTTGAGTGTAGCGGAAATAAGAATGTTAAGGTGGATGTGGGNGGAACCCACACCCATCCCCTGAAACCCACCCCCACCGAAACCCAGCATCACCCAACCTCACCACCATCCCCGAAACCCACCAACACAGAGAGGGCGAGGGGAGGATAGCTGGAAAAAAAAAAGAAAAAAGAAGTCAATGGGGCTTTTTATATACTCAACCAAGAAAATTAATTTTTTGTTGCTAAGAGGGTTGAAATCATGATCTCATTAAACCCCTTTTGGATCCACGCGTTTGTTTTTTTTTTTTTTTTT